TTTACTGAAAAACTGTTTTTGTAAAACAATCAGCATCGCTTTTGTAGGAGGGAAAGGAGGCCCTGCAGGTCCCAGACGAGCTGAGAAGGGCATCGACAAGCAGAGCTGGCATCTCCGCACCGGCATCGTTGGCCGGCTGGCGACAGGGAGACCCCGCCACCCACTTGTTGCCTCTCTGATGGGTCCTGCTCCCACCCTGCCACGTGGCGCTGACACGTCAACGACCAAGAGATGCGAAAGCACGCGATTCTGTCCGTTCTGCTCCCCACCCTGCCTCCACCGGTGGTGGTGGTCCTGCTCCGCCACACGCAGTCCATACACGGCATGTGTGAGCATGTTGTGGCCGCTGCCGCGGCTGATGGTGCCTCGTACGGGCAAAGTCCAGGCTGCCCAGGGGAGTGGTGGAGTCACCACCCATGGAGGTGTCCAAAAAACCTGTAGATATGGCACTTGGGGACATGGTTTAGCAGGCATGGTGGTATTGGGTTGACAGTTGGACTTGATGATCTTAGAGGTCTTTTCCAGCCTTAATGATTCTATGGTTCTAAGTCTATATATGGCATCGGTGGGAAATCGCCATCTGCAAGGAGCATGGGATCGGGCCCACTGGCCGTAAGCCCTGAGATGCTCTTCTGCCCCCCTGGCCTGAGCAATGTTCTACAGCAATAACCAGGGACCCACGCATTAAATATGTAGGAGACGCCGCTGCCGTCGTTAGCGGCTGCAGCTTTGCTTTTGGAGAGTAGCAGGTGCTCAGAGAGCTTTGATGTGTGCTCCTGGCCTTATTTACGGGTTTGTAACTCAGAGTTCATTGTACTGCATCCTCCCTGTTTTCGATCCATAATTATTATTTTGGTTAATTATTGACTCTTTTTTAAGTGCAAATTATGGACACCAGAATTTTTCTAATTCAGGGAAGAAGAGAAAATATGTATGAACTAGATTTTAGGGTGTATTTAAAATAGGAGCGTATTTCAGACAAGTAAATTTCAGAGCAATTAGAGTACTTAATATGAACTTTCTAGGCCCAGAACCCTGAGGGGAATAAGAAAACCAATTAAATCAGACTAAATAATCATGCCTAAATGTAAAAGTGTAACAGAATCCAATTGTTAAAGAACAACACTATTAAATTATGATGGAATGGTTTAGTTCAGATGTTGTCTGTGCAACAGGTTACTATTTTATTATTGAACAACAGTATTGATATTTTGTTGAACTTACCTGATCTGGGCTCTAAATTCAACAGGTGTAAATTTTAGGAGCTGCCAATTAAATTCCAGCAGTTCGCTTCTGCTGATGTGCTGGCCTAGTTTTTCAAACATTTTCAGTTTATTTTGTAAGAGGAGCAAGGCTGTCAGGCAAACGGCTCACCAGAGCAACTAGAAATGTTAGCTTTATGACAACTGGTTTAATGCTATCTAGTGTGGGGATAAGATTTGAAGCAGGAGCTCACTAAGCGTGTTTTGTGCAGATTAGTGCTAGTCAAGTGATCCTCTCATGTTCTCTGCTACTCCTACCTCTTCACAGGACTGAATTGTTTCTTTTGGGAGCGGTTATTTTCCACGTCCAACATGTCTCATTAACTCTTTCTGCATTTTCTTGTTCCCTGAATACAACAAAGGTCAAGGTTTAGCAGATACACAACCCATCAACTTGGAAAAGTAACAGTGGCATCCTATAAACCCCATTTTTGTTCTGCCTGGGATGTCAGTGGACGCATAGAGCCTCAGGGTGTGGGGAAGGCTGGCTTCCAGGGTGCATTTGCTTATTGGCAGTGTAAAACTGGAAACCTCTTTTCCACCAGAGATGATTAGGAAGGTAATCACCTCTGATGGCAGTTTAATGATGTGGTACATTTTGCACTGGCCAGCAAGTCGTCGCTTCATTCTGTTTTCTGCACTGGAAGAGTGCTCTGCTGACAGTTTAAGACCAGTTCTTGATATGTTGACCATCCTTGCTTTCTTTTCCACATAGTGCTCCCCTTACCTCTCTTTTTTCTGAAAGTCCCCATCTATGTGCAGAACTGTTCTCTTGGTGGCATGTGAAGTTCCACCAGAGCGAGAGCGAGAGTGCCCAAATGAGTAAGGCTCGACAAGCCCGGCTGGACTCCCAGAAAGCATCCCCCTTTACTTTTCTACCATCCTGTCCCACTTCCAGGGATCTCCCAGGCCCCACGAGAACTCCGCTGCTCCACCAGCCTCTCTTCATGGATCCTTCTAGGGCTGTTCTGCACCATAAGCTTCAATTAAAAAATGAGAGATTGTTTCATTTGTATTCTCTTGGTGTCATACCGACCCAGACTGGCAAATTCTAAGAGGCAGGGGAAGGAAAGTGAGCCTGTGTGCAAGCACATAGTGGGTACTGCAGGGAGGAAAAAAAGTAATAGCTGAGGGATGTACTGCTCCTGTTAAGCTGCAGGCACAATACCATTTCTATGAACAGCAGAGGGATGTGTGTATTAGAAATGTCTCATTGAAATCAGAATCCAGCCTCAGGTGCTGCTTGGGTACAACGAGCAGGATTAGGCCTGTAAATGAGGGAAGGAAGTGAGAAACCTTGGAAAAGTACTAGCAACTACCAGAAAGGGCAGAAAAAGGAGGTCCTATGGTCCATTGTCATTCCAGAGCTATTTTTTTTCCTAAAAATCCCTTTCCCTTTCCTTGTTAACTATGTGGCATGTGTCACAATATGATTACGTTTATTTATATCAACATAACCTTCCACAACATGAACCTGTGCAAATTACGTTACAAGAAACAGTAGTTCATTTCCATTTCAGTGGAGCTTGTTAAACAAGCAAAATAATTTTGTAGCAAAGGGAAAAACAATTTAGAGGAATGCACTCCTAGCATAGGAAGTACATAACATCGTATTTGGGTTGAAACTTTTTCTGTCAGAAATGTCATAACCCCGTAAGAAAGAGAATTAAAATCCCGTTATTTTAATTTACATCTAGCCACGAGATAAGTAAAGTTATCATTGAAATTCTAATTAAATAGGATGATTGACTAAGGTAGGACATCAAAGAAGAGAAGTGAATATGATAAGTCAAAGTCTTATTAATTAGTCCGCGTGGAAGAAATTCCAGGGACGTCAAGCTGAGGCTGCTGCAAGGAGAAAAAAAGCAGACAAGAAAATGTGTGTTTCTTTGAAGTTAGGAACTGAGATAGTGATGGAGGTAATTGTGTCTGACTGGATCCAGTAATGAAGAGCCGTAAATCAGACCTAGGAATCGGAGGAAAGATTCTAGTAACGAATGTGGCTGCCCCCCTGCTGCGAAGAAACAGAATGCAGAGCTGACTAATTGACCCAGTCTATCTCCCAGTAGCTCTCTGTTATTATTTATTAATTTTTAATTTCTGAATTATTTACGTTCTGGGAAATTATTTTTGACAGCCTGTTAGGCGTGCCAAAGTTAATGGAGGATGAAAGGACCGGTACTAGAATTAGCAGGGATGTAGTCACAGGCTACTGAATTTAATGATTTTGGAAGGGAAAATTGATTTCACACAGCGTGTCACTTTATACTACTTTAGGGATACACCAGCTATTTGATTAATTGAGGAATAACCAACTCAAAGTATATTTGAAGTGTAAATGAATCACAGTGCTCAGCTGTTTATTTTTCCCCTTTTCTGATGAGAACACAGTTTGCTTAAAGTTGCTGATTAAAACCAATACAGGTAGGCCCCATACTCACACCTGCTTACTTTCTTCTGCCTTAGGGAAAAAAAAAAAAATAA